TAAAGTCAGAGGCAATTTGGTATCTTTTTCACAGGAGGTAATCAAAAGTTTCTAAAATTAATTTGTTCTACCATTTGTAATTTGTTCTACCATTTGCCACCTGATACTTTATGTTTTTATGCAAATTATAGTCCGACTGAGGCATAATTAGAAGAGATTATTTCTTACTTGACTTTTGGAAGAGGACTCTGGAAGATCATTAATGAGAGGAGAGTTAACTTCCCAACTTCAAAGTTAAGTGCACCTGCAAATGCCTGACACTACTTTATTTCTGCTCGTCTGCTTCCAACAAATCATCTCAGTGAAGTTACCAGAGAGAGAGCGACATTAAATTATTGTATCCATGAAGTAAAGCTCATCAATATAGGAGCTTTGATTTATCAGATTATCATCAGTTCTGCCACTGCTGTTACTACTGCAAGTCTGGGATTTGTTTCCTTAATCTTTTTCATTATGTGAGCAGGCTGGAGTAAAATATGATAGCTGGGAGGAAGTATTATTACCTCTAAATCCCATCATTAAAGTAAATGTGAAGACTTACTCTGAGCATTCTATTTTTGGCTGGAGAGGAGGATTTTCTAGGAGCTATGGAATGAAGACGTCTGTTGATTCTACCTTTGCCGCTTCTACATTCAGACCATCTACCTCACGTGATTCTACATCTAGAGGTGAGTCTATTGAGACCCAAGATTAATTATTGCAGAGGATGATGAATCATATTAACTATACCGCTGATAAAGTTCAGAATTTAGAGCATTTTGCAGAGCATACTGATAGGTATAATAGGAAAAAAGAGTGATTATGAAGAGAAATTTAACTCATCTCTAGAGAACCTAATTAAGGGTGACCCAGGAGTGCAATTTCCTCCATATCCTCGATATCCTGATTATGAGCCTGCAGAAACATGGAATAGCGGTGATTCAGAGAGTGAGGATTAGGACTGAGAGATTTTATTTTTATGTTTGTATTATGTTATGGACTATGTGGTCTAATCTTGCTACATTTGCATCTGTGTGTTGATTTAGACTATGTGTTGTGTTTTGGACTTTTATGTTTTATTGTTATTGTGATGTTTGTGTTAGTTAGTATTTTGTTTTTGAAATTCTAGGGTAGTAACTGTTGTGAGTTTAGTATTGTGATTTAGTTAGTTTAGAGTTTAACTTAATTTTATGTCTTTTGAAAAGTTGAAAATCTTGCTAACTTAGATCTTAAATTTAAATTTCAGAAACTGCTACCCTGTATTTTTCTTTTATCATGTTTGTGACTTTGTTTTTATGCTGAGATTGTGAAGTCAAAGTAGTATGTTTGTTTGCTTCTATGTTTGAACCCACTGTTTAGAAGTCTATTGAATCTCTACATGTTGAATTGAAATGAAAATAGTAGAAAATTTGATTAAAATTAATTTTACTCCTGATTTTAGTTTTATACTTATATAATTAGGGTATAGAAAATTTCTATTAGCATGTTATTTTAATTTTCATTTCTGCTTAATGTTAAAAAATATGGTGGGGGGGGGGGGGGGAGGGTGGGAATGATAAATATTTTCAAAACTTGAATTTTATTTGTTCTCAAACGTGCTAGAAATGAATTTTATTTGAAAAGAAAAAAAAATGATCATGTATATGAGTTATATTAGGGAATTAAAATTTGATTTTAGAAATGAGTAAGAGAATTTAGTTAAAATTTTTAGTAATGAAGAAAAACTTTAAGTTAAAAGTTTTTAGTGTAGAAAATGTTTAATATAGTGTAACTATCTTCAGTAAGACAAATTGTATTTTTGAAAAATTTAGATAATTTAGACTTTTATTTTTAACACTTAAATTTCTTTTATTACAATAATTTTCAAAACTATTATTATATTTTTAAGTAAAAGATTTATATCAAGGCTTTATTTTAAGAAAAGAGAAGTGGAATTTAAAATTATTAAAGGTCTATCTAGATATAGTAATCCTTGCCTTAAAAAAATTGTAAGGGAGGAGAAGCTTGATGATTAGTGCCTAATCAAAAATTGGTTCCACTTTTGATCTTTTTAAAGTATAAGACTTGAGAAACTCTTTAGCTTAGTGATATAATATAATGAGTAAAATTATTTAAAATAAAAATTTTTAATTAGAGATAATAAAAGGACTAAATTCTAAATTTGGAAAATCTAAAAATATTTCTGAATTAGATAGGAACTCATATTTTTATATTTCTTAAATTTAAAAATTTCTAAACTTTAAGTTAGTCTCATTTACTGAATATTTTTTCTAAATTGGACTACTATATTTACTGAATATTTTTTCTAAATTGGAAGGTATTTTTTGTTTTTTTTTCAGGTACAAGTAAAAATGTGAAAAATGCTTAAAGGAGTGAAAAAGAATCAAATTTGGAGCAAATAGGTGAAAATTGTGCTAAAGTATTTTGGTGCCTAAGCGCCTGTTAAAAAGAGAAGGCCGCGCCTAAGCACCAGAGGCCCTGCATTTAAGCGTCAGAGGTAGTTATTTGATGAGTAAATTCGGTTTTGCAAATTTTGAAGAGGTATTTGGGTCACCTTTTGACATAAATAGGTGGTTACAACCACCAAGGACGAAAATACTTGTAAAAGGAGGCATCCCTTGGTGAAATACATCGAATCAAGACATATTTTGAAGAGATACCAATACACCTATTATAAAATTATAAAAGAAGGAAGATTGAATCTTTGAAAGTGTGTGTGTGCTTGAAAAGAGAAAGTTTTGAAAGTTCTTAAAGAAATTGGGGAGTTAGTTTGGAGAGATTTTCAGGCACCACACCAAATATTTACTTTATCCTTTTATTTTAGTTTTATATTGAGAGTGTTGTAAAAGAGAAGAGATTCAAAGGAACTTTAAGAGTTTGGTGGAGGATTTGAGATAAGTTTTATCTTTTGTTTTAGACTACTTTTGGTTTTAATTGAGACTTATTGTTGGTTTGATAATGATTACTACTTTTAAACTAAAGCGTGGTTTTATTTTCTCCATGGATTCTGAGTAGTTTTCTCTATCTTTCTTCTTCAAATGATAAGTAATTAAGTGTTAGATGGAAGTTGTGGAAAGTATTAATCTTTAATGTTGGAAAAAAGTTGTGATGATTTAAATCCATGTACTTTATTTACTTCTTGATTTGACCAATCCAGATGTTAAAATTTGTTGTGAGAACATGTAAGAATCGGACTGATATTGTCTCAGTCAACAATTTGAAAGAATCACATGAGGTTGTATGAATGAGAATCTAGTTCATATGATTGAGTGCAAATAAATAGGGAAATATTCATTGAAAGGTGTAGAGTTAAAGGACTTTAAAGTGACATGTTAAAGTCCCCAACTTGTTTTATTATTTTAGGTTCTGATACGAGATGCCCCCAGGTGGAGGGAATCAAGGAAACTTTAGAGTGAGAGCTGGTATCTTCCCTGCTTAGCCGGTCTTCAAAACTATTCAAACTTTAAATTAGCCAATGTTCTTTATAGCATCTCTAGTAAGGGTAAAAAATATTATTGCTCTCATTTGGCACAACACAATTTACATACTTCCACAATATAATTCCTATACATATTACTGATTCATGATAGGGAGAAATATATTTTATATTTAGTGATTTTCTTCTACAAAAACTCAAGTTATCTTTTTAAGTTGTTACTGTTTTATCAAATTATCAAAAATACCAAAAATATTTAAATTTTATTCATTATTGAGAAAATATCTATAGTTTAAGTAATTGACTTTTTAAAAAATAGAAAGTTTGTGCATATTGAATATTTTCCTGTGGGTTTGATATTCAGGTCTTAATATAAAAGTCCTACATTACTTGATAACGATACGTATACTTGCGTAGTATCCCAATATGTATAAATTAAAAAGTTAAATTCTTATTTTTCTTCAGGATCAAGTTTTTGGTTTTGTTGCAAAATAAGGAAATATAAGTGAAAAATATAATCAGAGCTATTGTTATACTGTTGCATATAAACAATCAGAATCAAGTTCTTGGCGCCGTTGCCGGGGAATTGAAGTGAAAATTGTAAAGAATCTATTGATTTTAAAGCAAATTTTTTTTAGAAAGTCTTATTTAAAATTTAAAAATTATTGTATCTTATTTTTGTGTGTGTTTAGTTTTATTTTATTTTATTTTAGTGTATGCGTAGTTCAGGTTCTGAAGGACTAGTGCCCTACAATTATAAATTAGAGAGAACTGTTAAAAAAATCAAAAAAATCAAAAAAATTAAAAATCTTGAAAAATCTAAAAAAAATTACAGAAATGACAAATCAAAACAATCAAAATGCCGAAATTCATTAAGAGCTTAGACCTTTAAAAGATTATGCAACCCTACTGTAAATGAACTTCATTGTAGTATTCAAAAACCTATTGTAGTGGCTAATTCATTTGAGCTTCATTTGAGCTTAAACCTATATTATCCCAATGATATCAAATAATCAGTTTGGGAGATCACCAACTGAAGATCCAAATTTACATCTTGCCAATTTCTTAGACTTTATTGCATTCTGATTTTTAAAAACTTTCAGGAGATTTCTTTCATAGACTTTCACTTTATTTTATTTTGGTTTATTCATATCTCTTTTTGTTGCTATATTTAGGATTATAACATCTGTAGGACTGTTCTTTCCTGGAAATTTTCATGAGCAGCTTTGATATCAACATATATCCGGGCTAGAGTTTGCAGAATTTTTCTAATTTTCTTACAATTCTTTTATTTGATTAAATATGAATTTTTAGGAAATTTTCAGAATTTATTTTAAGGGTTTACTCTGAAAAAAAACTCATATTTAAAATACATATTAATCATTAATTTTTAATCTAGTTACTATTAAGATTTAATTTTGTAAAAGAATAAGTTTAAAATTTATCAAATATAATTTGAGAAAATTCATTATGAAGTTTAATTAGTTATAGATATGTACTCATTTGAAAAATAATTTAATAGTTTAATAATATTCAGATCCCCAATAATTCTAGGCATAGTGTGAAAGTTGGCCCCCGCTCGTCCGTCCCCACAATACTCTCATTAATAATTGCCTTTGCCCTAACGTCCTGCCACCCTCGTCCACCCCTCTCTCTCTCTCTCTAGATTTCCATTCTCTTCCTAAACTTCTTTTCTTTCTCTCTCTAGATTTCCTCAAATCCGTGACCCTTTTTCTCCCCGATTTGAGCGGGAGACAGACGGAGAGCATGATCGGTCGACACCCTTTTCCCCTCCTCTTTACCCTCATCCCACTAATACTCGTCGCCGCTCCGACGAAAGAATCGGCGGTGGCGGATGCGGAGGCTCCGGCGAAGACCGTTTATGAGGTTCTACGACGTCACGGTCTTCCGAGCGGCCTCTTCCCTAAGGGCGTACGCGAATTCCACCTCGACGATGAAGGCCACTTCGAGGTTCATTTGGATGAAGAGTGCACCGCAAAATTCGAGACGGATGTTCACTATGCTCGCAACATCACCTGCACCGTCAGCTACGGCCAGATCGCCTCCATCTCCGGCCTCTCAGCACAGGAGCTCTTCCTCTGGTTCCCCGTACGAGGCATCCGCGTTGACATCCCCAGCTCAGGTCTCATCTACTTCGATGTCGGCATCATCTACAAACAGTTCTCCCTGTCTCTCTTCGAAACCCCTCCCGATTGCTCGCCCTCCGTCACTCCGCCTTCCCGCGATCACCGCCTCGAGGGAACCCGCATCGCCCAGATCGTTTCCGAGGTACCCTTATTTCTACCTTTTAATTCCCCTTTCCCTCATTCTCCATCCAATTCTTGAAGTCACGGAAATTGTGAATGGGGTTGGAGCAGAGCCAATCTGGGAAGCTGAGGTACGATCTTGATCAAGAAGATAAAGTGAGGGCCGTCATCTGATCTTGGATGGCTGCAAAAACTTCTTAGTTTGTTCCCCATGATTTCACGCATTGGCTGCAGCTTTTTGCTAGGTATTCCCTGATTCGACTCTGTTTCTGTGCTGTTGGTGTGTTTGTGTGGTTGCGGTATGAAATAGCGCAGCAGATTAATTAGTTTACCGGCTTGTCATAGCCGCTTAAGTTCAGTTTTGGCCGTGTGGTAATGGAGGGAGACGCCGGAGGTCATCCTGGTGCTTTCGCAGCCAACACAGAGAGGGAGTAGTTGTGATGGGAGAGAGAGAGTGAGAGAGTGAGAGAGCGAGGGGCAGAGAGAGAGAAACGGTGTGAATTGCGTGCAATTACTGTTCCTTAACGGAAGTTTTGTCTGTAAAATGGGTTAAATGTAAGTTAATTATATATTTATGTATGATATATAAATTTCTAGAAATAATGAGGTATCTTAGCTCCTGTTATAGAAAATAACTAGGCTTTAGGGTGTAAAAAGAGTTATAAAAGGTACAAGCATATTTTACTTTTCTAACAAGAATTGTAAGAAAAAGTTCTTAATTAAATTACAATGAATAGAAAGTTGCAAATAATAATATATTATAGGGGTGGGTGTAGGCTTAGAAAAGGAATTATTGCTTTGGCTTACAAAATTATAATTGGCTTCATTCTAAGGGTTTGTTGGGACAATTTTATACCCGTTATGTTTCATACCGCAATCACGATTCTGTTTGGGGATTTGCTTTTAAATAATGTGGTAAAAAGTTATTTTAAAGTGTGATGGTTATAAGAAAGGTTTCGTCTGATGTTTTGAAAAAAATATATCTAAGAGGTTGTTTTATCCATCAGAGTTTTATAACCGTCTTTTTTAAAAAATTAAGGTCCCCCCAAACACTCTTGTGGGCATCACTTCTCTTTTTGAGAGTTAATAAATTTATTTTTTTTTTAAATTTGGTCAAATAAATTTATTGAATTACCTTTGGATGATTGTGATATTTTTTTTAAATTTGGTCAAATAAATTTATTGAATTTCCTTTGGATGATTGTGATAGTGTTTTCTTTTTTTATTTTTGTAAAAAAAAAAAAAAAGAATGTCAAATTTCAAAAGAGAAAGTTGCCTACATTTCAAAGAATTTCCACCTCGACGCCTCTTCCTACGCAAAGTCATTCAAACAAGACAAATGATCAAATTGTCAAAGCAATAATCAACTAAAATCCTCAAAACAAGATATTATGAAGAAAAAAGAGAAACCTTTGTCAAAGCAATGATCAACTAAAAATTTATAAGTTGTAACAATCCAAAAAAACACTACCAAAAGAATGCACCTATTCTAAATACTACACTACCAAGCGATCGATCTATACCCATAAAATTGGTCAGCCATCGCTTGGTCATCACTTGGTGATTTTATAAAACACTTGGGATTAGCAAAGATGCATGACTAACTATAGTAGTTCTATGTATCAAAAGGGAATGAAGTCGATTAATCATAAAATGATTGTGATTGTAGCCAGCCCCCCAAATTTGATGCAATTAGTTTCAATTATAAATAGCCCACCATCGTGAAGAGCTAAATGTGATGTGAAGTGTATTAAATGAATCAAAAGTGTAATTTAAAGATGCAATCATTGGAAGTACATTCACATGTATCATAATCAAGTTTTGAGTCATGCATGATCATTAATATTAATGAAATTAGTTGATCACAAATGCAAGCAGATTATAAAAAAACTGTTACACACTTAGAACCCCAACCATTACTCATGCTTCATATAAAATAAAGATTACTGTATTATTTTAACATTGCATTTTAAGAGCCCAATAAATTCATACCTAAATAAAAAATTAAAAAAAAAA